GGAGAGGTTTCCTGGCAGCAGGATTGGTGTGTGAGCACCGTACAATGTACATGTACAAGTGTTGGCAACGCATCTCCAACAGGTTGTACTGTACATGTGTATTTCGCAATCAGAACTACTTCAACAGACGTCCTTCAGAACGGAGCAGAAGGGTCAATTCAACTTCCTCAAAACACTTCCAGCAGATCCGCCGACTGTGTGCTAGTGTATGCCATAAATGATACAGTGGGTGTGTATTTTTTTTGGAATATACCGGTATACGTACCGGGTACAGCCGAGGTACATGTGCAAGTAACAGGTGCAGCTTTACAATATGTGTGTGAGCCAAGTTCAAATGGACTTTTCAATAGGAGCCCAATGTGCCCTTGCACATGTGCAGGCCTGTAGACATGCATGCATACATGTACTGCTTTACACGTGCACTGTACATACTGTTCGTGAGCATAGTACATGTTGTACTGGTACTGTGCTAGTTTACCAGGGGTAGTTAATAGTATTTGAATTGTGGGCACTGTACTCATTCTAAAGTGGGTACAGCACAGGTACATTTTTACCTTTAATGAAGATTTGATTTTCATTTTTTTTTTTCATATTTGTTGACACGTCACACATTGCCCAGAGAAGTGCAAATGTATGACCCCTCCCCCCATGTACCGGTACATGGACAGGTTCCAGCTTGCTAACAAGTAAACATGAGTATCATCCCATGAACACAAGTGGACTGCAGAAAAATCATAGATGAGTGTGTACATTATGCATCCTGAGGCTAAATATAGGGCTACATGCATGTGTACAGACTGGATGCAGTAAAAGGGGCAATTTGTCTCCAAGCTGGACTGGCGCCTATTTTCATGGTGTGCAGCCGGTAAATGCACAGCGACTGGTGTGTGATGAAAACCATCCATGGAACTGTACCATAAACTACATGTACAGTACCGGTATCTCACTGCTATTGCTGTGGGATCTACGGAGTACCAACCAACGTGAAGGTTTCATTTTGCTTCAATCAAATTTACAAATACCAATGGCAAAAGCTTGTGACCTTTAGTTAACTTCTACCTACATGTGCATGCACATTGTCAAAACATCATGATGAATCACTGTGTTAGATAACACAATGTGCCACGGCTTTTTGTTCCACTCTGTCAAGAAGCTGGGTGCTATCACACAAAAATCTATAATCGGCCAGTCAGAACCTTATGGATTGCAATAAAATCCAATGAATAAACAAATTGACAAACAGACCAGACAGAGGAAAAGCCCCCTCTGACTTTTGATCAGTGATAAAAAGGACCGTTGAGTACTAACACTTAAACATCAATTTGATATCATCTAGATGTCCCTTACTGTGCTTACTGAACACGTAGTGGTACGTTTGTGAAGCACACAGTCCAAGTCTAAATGACTTTACATTTGTACCATGTACAGCAGGTGCAATTTGTCAAAAACCTGTTTATTGCATCTCAGTTAGTGGTGTAAGTACTAAGAACCGGTACTGTGCAAAACAGAGTAAGAAGTGTCTACCTTAGCACCTGAGCAATTAACTAAAAAATAGCTATAAACGATAGTGACGGGGGAACAGCAGAAAAGTTTAACACTGAAGTGGTAACTTAAGCTCACCCTGACTTCCTGAGGTTCTACAATAATGGGGGGGGCAATCCGGGTAAAACCTACAGCTAAGCTTACCCTCTGTTTAAAATTTTACATTCTCCTCAGGTTACATGCATTTTTTTTACATTCATTGATCAGCACACTGTGTTTTTATCTACAGTACCATCAAGCATCAAAAGACTAACGACTACATTTTTATCGACAGAAAGTTTGTCATAATTGGGCACAATTTACACAAAGAATATGATAAATGTTTGATTCAGAAGTCCCTGCGTGTAGTTTGAAGAATGGCAACCACCAAGAAACCTAAGTAAATGACATCGGAGATATGGGCAGAATACGTACATGTATCCCATTACATTACTCTGACAGCATTCATTACAACCAATGCACCTCCAAGACAGGAGGCTAAATTATTAATTCCAAGGAAAATCAAATTAAGAGCACAGTTCCTGTTGAGTGAAGAATGTGAAATGCAGGTACATGTCCTGATGTACACGCAACCCACCCTACGTATCTTGATGCAGTAACATAGCCAAAGGGAACTGAGGACTCAATTTCCCCTCCTTTGGCCACACACGTGTAACAAAAAACACTGCCCCAGAAAAAAAATTAGTAATTTGTATCCTTATGTGGGCAATACAGCATGGGGGTAACTCCAAGAAAGATTTCTCAAAGATGAAAGGGTAGCCACGTCTTAATTAGTATTATAATGGATGAGTAATGTTGGGCACTTGTGAAAATTATGGCACTGAAGCCACACCTACATGTACATGTACTGGTACCATACACATGTACTGTTGACAATGTGACTGTACTTTTGGTGCATGTATGTATGTACACGTACAAAAGTGCATGTACACTATATCTGGCAAGGGCTTCAGCAAACATTGAAGGGTGCAGTCCACTAATTCAAGCGAGAATTTCTGGCCAGCTTATTAGCATTAAAAGTGCCTCCCCGCCGTATCTTTTGAGATTATTTGGCCCCCAAAATGGTGAGATTGAGTAAATCTTTGCCAGAATCAAATCCCTGGGTCTTTGGGCTTTCATCTGAGAGTAGAATGGCTACAAAATACTGTTGAAAAATGGTCCTAAGTGCCCAAGAAAGTTGAGGGTTGTCACTTTAAAAAATGGCTGCAAGCAGACTTTGGAAAAATCCCTTGGGGGGTAATTTTGTTTTGAGGGAATAACTCAAAATCTAATCGGTTAATTATAACCCGCAGAAAATTGAAAAGAAAGTAATAGATTATGGACCATACAACAATTTAACATGTGTTTCAGATGCCTCAGGGATGTTGGTACGCATATTATTGGGCCCCGAACAATGCTGATTTTACACTGCTTTCAATGGGGCCTGAATTAGTGGACTACACCCTGAAAACTGAGCGTCCACATTGCCTTGATTGTAGTTTTAGCTCTGACTGCATCCATTATCCACAACCTCCTTTAATGCTTTATTAATGTATACACACCTTCCACTTTCTCTATACCCATGGGGACGACTCAAACATGGGTGTATTCATCACAAACTGGGTCTGGGTGTCTGGACCAAAACACAGAATATAAGATGGTAAGTGTAGGCCCATCCTGTACTGTGTATGTACATGTCTGTACATGTACATGTGATCATGGTGTGTGCAAGGTGAAATCAGAGGTAATTACACTACATCATTGTCAGATCTACATGATGTGACCAAGCACATTAGAAAAAATATGTCGGATGTTAGATGGTCACACATGACACAATGTCCTTTGTGTCCAGTCTCAATTTTCATGACATACTGGTACCTGTGCCTGGTACTTGAACAGAAGGAAAACTTCCATTTTACTTTTAAAATGTGTTGCAGCAGTTAGTACAGTGGAGACTGAATCATGAAACTAGAGACAAGTATCGGAAGCATGTACGTGTACAAGTACCTCAACTGTTCTTCCTCTGCAATTCAACACAGCATTTATAAACCCAAAGGGAGAGTGCCGAGCCCAATACATCATAGTGGTACATGTACACCTGGACCCTATGGTACTAAATCCAACACATGTGATGGGGAATGAGATCAGAATCGATTTCAGTTTTTAATTGATCGATGCATTTAGACATAGGGTAAGTGCAGGAATTTTCAACCAGGAGGAGAATTTGACCAACTGCATTCAAAAACTACACAGCTGGTCGAATTTCTTGCTTTTCTTATTAAGGGGGTCGAATCCCCCCACCACCTTTACCCTGCATGTAGCTGGCAGAAATTCAAGACTATGAAGATACAATAATGAGATAAATGAACAGGAAAGCTTAGGTCTCTCCCATTTTTTTCTCCCCTTGTTTTCTCACGAACAGTCAAGCATGCTATGTACCTATACTCTTCACTGGTTATCTGGATCAAACTGAACCATTACTAGTACAACAACTCTAATATAATTACAAATGAAGACTCGATACTGTGACCTTCAGTAACCCCTTGAATTAAATATATCGGGGCTCACTGGAGGGGAGCCCTACAGTTGTTATGGTTTTAGGGGTAACTTTCAGCACAGCTTCCAGTAAATTTAGGCTTCAAATGTACAAGAACCAAAACCTACAAACTTCACTTTTTCGCATGCCAAATCAGTGTAACTTGTTAAGTACACATGTACAAAAAAAGAAAAAAAAGCTTCAGATAAAATACATATAACTAGGCCTGTAGCAAAATCACACCTGTTTTATGTTTACACAGTTTTTTGATTGGCTGATTGGTGTAAACATGAAGCTAGGGAAAGGATGTTGCATTCTTCCTCAACTTTTTTATCATACGTGCAGGTGTATCATCCCAATTAAGCTGAAAAGGCACAGGAAAGAGTTCCATATCCAGACATCTTGACACTCTGTGCACAAACTCTATGAGACTGCTCTGAATTCAATATTCAATTCAATATTTTCCTTGCTAAATTTGACTTTTCATGCTTTTTAGGACATGCTACCACTTTCTGACAGCTAATAAACACTGCAAAGTGCAAGGGAAAACTATGATGTCCATGACATATGGAACTCTTACTTAGTACCAAGACATGAATCTGGGAGTGGGACTGAGAAAAATTTCCAATTCGTGAGGAAACACAAATGTAGGCCCCTACTTACTGAGCACATTTTCCTAACTCCCCATAAACTTGGTGCCCAACCCGACAACCTCATGCAACATTCTTTCTGAAGCTACCAGTTGCGTTGGTATAAAAATAAGTTGGAAAGGAAACATAATGTGGCACACAAATTGTAGTTGAGATAATTTAGTAAGCAGGTGCCCTTCATGGCCTGCCCTGTACACAGTCATGGCACGGCCAATGGAGGAGAAACTGAACTTTACTAGCCATAGTCATGAGAGTTTGAATATGACGATGGTAAGTGATTGTAGTGTACTCACTCTTGTCACGTTGTCTCCACGTTCGACCCGCGTAATCCCCGTCCTCCGAGGCATAAACCAAGCCAAAAACTCGAACGTATCACCTCAGAAACATGCAAGGTGGTGGTGAGATTTCACACACCCCGACTTCAATAAAACACCGTGTCGTCTGGCTTTCAAACTCTCGAAAAGTCCGCGTCCGCGCAGCTAGCAGGTCAACTTTCCAATGCCAACTTTCACACGGACTGATGACGGCTCATACAACAAACGTCCTTCCAGTCGGCCGCGCGTTTGCAACAAGGCTAACTTTTAAAAATCTTACGATTCCTGTCTCGTCCTCATCTGAGCTGTTCAACCCAAGTAGACTGTAAACAGGACAATTTGCCTTTCCTACAGAACTAACGCTAGGCAGAATCCATTTCCGTGTCTGCAAGTTCCGCTTGAAGACTCTGCAGGGCCGGGCTCGGGCTGTCATTTGCAAATTGCATCAACACACATACTTCCGTGATACAACGAGCACCCGGCGGGCCGCAAGGAAGGAAACAGAACCAGTTTCATTGATACAGGCTCTAGGCGTGACACATGCATGCACTGAAGAAGTCTACAGCGTGAACAGCGCGCCACCTGTTGGCAGCCGGACTTTTAATTAAATTTTAAACGTGTAGTTAGGATTTAAATGCTCCCCGCCTGTCGAGGGTGTGTGGGTGGGCGGGGCACCAATTCAAGCCCCTAACTAAACAAAGTTCAAAGTTCAATAAGATGCAAGCCCACGTTACTGAAATATATCCAAAAAAAAATTAATTTATTGTGTTGGCCCTAGTCATTGTATCTCTTTTCAGTTTTTAGTGAGTTAGCTGATTACATGTTTATTAGTCACCCAAAAGTTGGAGTCGAGTCCATCACAAGTTCTTTTGTAAGTCCCTTGTCATGGCAAGCTGTACTAATCGAATGAACAATGACAAAAGAATTCTTGGCCTAAAACAGAATGACTTGTAATAAATCTCCCCAACGCAAAAAAAAAAAATACATCTTGAAAATAGTTCGCGGTACCCACTGCTTCATTTGACTCAG